TCTCCTTCTTCCTCCTCCTCCTCCTCCTTCTTCCTCCTCCTCTTCCTCCTCTTCCTCCTCCTCTTCCTCCTCCTCCTCCTCCTCCTCCTCCCTCCTCCCTCCTTTCTTCTTCTTTCTTCTGTATCTTCTTCGATGTGTGAGTGTATGTTCCAGCATAACTCTATAACGCCTCCAGCAATTTCAACCAAACTTGGTAGCAGATTACTTACTCCCTGGAAACAAATACTGTGGATTAAGACATCCCTAACGCCCCTCGGGGTGTGTATTCTGTTAACATACAGCCTATTGTGCCTTCAAATGGCTTCTACTGTACTACCTTAACAGTGCTGTTAACTTCCTAACAGTGAGGACAATTAACCAGTGGAACAGCTTGCCCTCAGAAATGGTGGCTGCTTCATCACTGGAGGCTTTTAAGAAGAGATTAGATAATCATTTGTCTGAAATGGTTTGGATCTCCTGCTTAAGCAGCGGGCTGGACTAGAAGACCTCCAAGGTCCCTTCCAGCTCTATTCTGATTCTGAGGAAGGAACTGACCACCCTAAATGTCGATCAGAAGCAGGTCGCCAGAGGCAAAAACTGTTGCATTTGAGGCAACGGTGGAAAAATGGTATAATGGGCATTGTGGTTGGAAAGAAAAGCAGCCGAAGGCGTAAGAGGTGGATAAACGGCATTTAGTTCAGGGGTTTCCAAGCTTGGCAACTTTCAGACTTGTGGACTTCAACGCCCAGAATTCCTGGCTGAGGAATTTTGGGAGTTGACGTTTGCAAGTCTCAAAATTGCCAAATTTGGAGAAACCTGGTTTAGGTATAAACCGAGCCTGGAATTACAGTGGTAAATCATGCTAATAGTTAAGTGAATCAGTTTTGTGAAGAAGCTTCTTGGATGAGAAGCGAAACGCCTTCACAGAAAAACCAGAAAGTCCTGTTGCCTCTTGAAAAAAGCACCTTTGGGAAAACTTGTGCATTTGGTATTTCTGACCTAACTGGATGATTGAGAGTCTCCAGATTTTTGCTAACTCTTTTTTTTAAAAATTATTATTTGCCCTTTGAAGGTTCCAATAATTCAAGTGGTCTATTCCTCCTTTACTTCATTTTACAACCCAGAAAAGAAGACGTTTACATCAGGTAGGGTAACGCATAGCTTGCCGTGTTGTTCTGTTCCTCTTAACTGTCCTTGGAGATCCAAATTCTCTTGCCTGGTTAAAAGGAATCCAGGTTTTTGGCTTTGTGAGCGTGCTCGGTTTCACTCCCAATTCTCTGTCTGCGGATATGTGTGGGTTCAGCGCAGCACCCCTTCCTTCCTGCTTACTTGATAGATGAGCCATGGTGGTGCAGTGGTCACAGGACTGCAGGGTCCTTCTGCTGACTGCCATCTACCTGCAATTTGGCAGTTCGAATCCCACCAGGCTCCAGGTTGACTCAGCCTCCTGTCCTCCTGAGGTGGGTAAAATGAGGATCCAGATTGTTGGGGGAAAGAGGCTGACTCTATAAACCACTTAGAGAGGGCTGTAAAATACCTATGAAGCGATATATAAATCTAAGTGCTATTGCCCTTCCTTCCTCCCTCCCTCTCTTCTTCCCTCTTTCCCTCCTTTCCTTCCTTCCTCCCTCCCTCCCATGGTGGTGCAGTGGTTAAAGTGCAGTATTGCAGACTAACTCTGCCCATTGCCAGGAGTTTGATCCTGAGCAGGTCAAGGTTGACTCAACCTCCCGCCCTTCTGAGGTGGGTAAAATGAGGACCCAGATTGTTGGGGGCAAGAGGCTGACTGTATAAACCGCTTAGAGCAGGGATCTCTGCTGGCTGAGGAATTCTGGGAATTGAAGTCCACAAGTCTTAAAGTTGCCAAGGTTGGAGACCCCTGGCTTAGAGAGGGCTGTAAAAGCACCGTGGTGTATAAGTCTAAGGGCTATTGCTAATGCTTGTCAATTGTCTCAACTAGCAGCAAAATCCCTTCGCCCCCGTTTTCCACGGTCCTGATTTCACCGCCTTTGGCCAATTCTCTGCCGTCCCCAAAGTCTATTTCTTTCTGGAAAGTTCCCTCAGTCAAAGCAATAAAGTGGGGGCTCCATAGCACCGTCCAGGCAAGCAGCTCATCCATCCTGTGAGATGCTCTAGGACTTAAGTCACCACCATGGTCAACTCACCATGTACAACTCATCACTGGACAAGAGCTACACTAGTACAGAAGAAACAATGGAATAGCACCATTAAAGAAGGGTGTCAAACTCAAGGCCTATGAGCCGGATCCAGCCCACGGGACTGTCCTGGTCTACCCAATGCAAAGAGGAAACATGCCAGCAATTTGGGGAGTGGCATCAAGCTGGTCATGCCCACCCAGTCAGCCACGCCCCCCCCAGGCCCCCCGAGGTCAACCACAGCCCTGATGCAGCCCTCAATGAAAGAGGGGGACAGGAGGGACAGAATGAAATGAGAATGACAACAATTAAAATAATTTTATTTTAAGTAATTAAATTGAATTGTTGAATTGTCCTGCAACGAGTTGTTCCCTGGCGAGTTGGCCATGGCAAGTTGACTCCGGCGAGTTGTCCCATTCCGTTGTGGGAACCCCAAAAGAACAGTGAACAGGAAATTAATCGGGAGACCTCTAAGGAGAAGAAGATGGGTTGAGGGTTGGGCCATGTGTTGGGTGAGTGGAGGCATTGACTTGTGGGGGGGCCCTTCCCGAACACTTGGGAGAGTTGGCTTGACCAATCAACAAGAGCTACCTGCTTTAAATGTGTGTGTCAGGATTCCAGCAATCGCCCTAATTAAATCATGACTCTCGAGCCAAACTTCAAAAAACTTCAAAGGGTTTATTAGAGGCGACATACTGGCACTGCCCTGTATGAAGCCAAATCTGTGGCCCTGTTTCCTCCCTCCCCCCCTGGGTGTCTCCTAAATCAGATTCTCCAATTGAGCCCGTTCATGGGCTGGGTGTCATCAATCACATTCTCCAAGTAAATATATTCACGAGCAAAAACTCTGGTAGTTTAGTTACAACCTTTTAAAGATAAAGAGTTGGAATGTACTTTTGCTTTCAACTGATCTTCCAGATTTTCTTTCCCCCCACCCCACTTTTTATGGCAACTATTAAAACAGGCATAGGAATGTTTTATGAGTTGACAGTGTGGGCTGGAGCAGTTGGACCCGGGGCTGTAGGTAGGAATTTACCACTGTCTTTTCTGCCTCCAGGCAAAATCAAGGTGGAAATCTTTCCACCCATCTCAACGAAAGGCCTGACAACTGAGGATGTTGATGATCTCGCCAAGCAGTGCTACACCACCATGAGGGACACCTTCTTCAGGTTGTCGGGAAAGAGCAAAGAAACCAACGGAGAGGCCTCCGTCCTTGGGCAGTAGGGTCTCTTGCCCAAATGGCTGTGGGACAGATCCTTCAATTGCCCCAAACATTGGCCAAGGTCCCCTTGCTTGATGTTGTGATGAAAACATGTAGGTTGTTCCCGAAGAACTTGAGGGAGGGAGGAGGAAGTTTCAACCAGTGTTGGATGTGCTCAAACCTCTCAGGTGGAGGAATCTCCTCTGGTTTTTCCCTCCCCACCTTCTTCTCCACAAACTGCTATTACCAAAGAGTCCTGTGCTTCTTCTCAGTGTCCACAACCAGCAGTTGAAACCACCCCAAGTGCCTTTTCTCTCTCCTGGTGACTCCAGGGATTGAGTCCATGCCTTCCTCCTTGCCCTCTAGGGTGATAGTTCCACTATTTGACGCTGTTTTGGGTTGAAGGGAGAACGTTCCTGAACCAGTAATGATCCTTGTCCAGAAGAGGAGATGCTGGGCGTTTGCTGTCCTGATAAGGCTGCATCTATTAATGTTGGGAAACAAGGTGTGCAAGTAAACTCTCACAGGTAAGCTGGGGAGAGTGTGAAGGACCACGGCAGAGTTTGTCACTATGGTAACCAAGCAAATTCTTATCTTCTACCCAGGACTCTTAATGCAGCGCTTCTCAGTCTCACCAACTTTTAAGATGTGAGGACCTCAACTCCAAGAATTCTCCAGCCAGCTATAAGGGAATGCTGGCGGGAGAATTCTGGGCACTGAAGTCCATACATCATAAAGTCCTTCCAACTTTAAATGTTGCCTAAGCATAAGGAACTTTTTTTATTTATTTGGGAACAAAGTGTCACCCCCCCCCCCAATGTTCTTTTCTTTGAAGATAACCATAGCTCTGTTGCAAGCAGAGATATTTCAAGGATTTGAGTCGCCAAAAGTGGCCTCGTGGTTTTGGGTGCCAAAGTGCAAAGCAGGCGTACTAACTTGGAAATTCTGAGATCTCATGATGGTGAAGAGAAGAGCTGACAAGGGGGCGAATCCTTTTTGCTGGAGAGGAATTCAAAAGAGTTACAAACGTGTAAAGAGATTTGATTAAATTGACCCTGCCCGTAGGGTTTGGGTTTGCCCATCACCTCAGCACAAAGCATGTGCGTGCATTTTGTTTTGATTTTTGTAAGAAGGGAGGGCACAATGCTGCTTGCAACCCTTCACTAATTCGGTTGCCCTCGGCAGAGTTGTGAGTCCCAACGGTTGAGTTGTGCTGGGGCAGAAATTCCCAAAACTCTTAAAGGGAATGGAAAGTACTTTTAGACAGGCATCGTGTTCACTCAGAATTGTGATGGAGAACTTGCCATTTGTCCAGCATCCTCCGCATGTTGAGCTGCTGTCCTGCTAAACTGTGGTTGCTCCCCACAAGCCTTGACCCCCCAGCCATTGTCATCCAAACCAGACAGAGAAGTCACTGCCTGTTGGTTGACAATCAGCCTTGCGCTTCCTTCAGTGTCCAAGTTGAGGGAAGACTCCGCCATCTTGCAAAGTTTGAATGATGCCCTCCAGCCCCCCCGAGAGAAAGACTCTGGAATATTTTTTTTACTCAAGGTTGGAGACTTTCATCTGTTTCTGAACCAAGTTGGGTGGGCTTAGGTGATCTTTAAGGTCCCTGCCAGCCCCGCCATGCAAAAGCAAGTTGCTTTCCCTTAGTTTCATCCAATCTGCACCCCACCGGTCCCCATGGGTTATTCTACAGTCCCACAAAAAGGGCCGGGACTGGCCACAGCTCCTTTATCTGGAGGCTCCGGAGCAGAAGATCTCAACCATAACAACGTCAAGATGGGCAGCCTTCAAACTCCCAGAATTCCCTAGCCAGCTTACTGGTTAGGGAATTGTGGGAGTTGGAAGTCCATCCATCTTAAAAATCACTGAGGTTGAAAACTCTCTGGAGAATTCCTTGGGGATCAGTCATCCTTCCTTGGATAGGAGAACAGTTGAAGTCCAGGATCTCTCCGTTCCATCCCAGGATCTCGGGTGCTGTTCGTGCTGTGCCCCCCTCCACCCCAGTCCAATTCTGCAACAAAGCCGCTTTGTGGGGGAATGAAGCTACAAGATCCATCAAGCACAATTCCTGCATTCAGACGATCTGTTGTCTCCACCATCTTTAAAAGCCAGTTTCAGCTTTATTTACAGGGTTTGGGAACATGGTTGTCCTGTCTGGAGGGGAGGGGGAAACGACAAGGCTCTCAACCTTAGGAAAAGCACTTATCACCAGCCTGGGGTGGAGACAAGAAAGAGTATATGTGGCTGCTGGGAGTTGTAGTCCCGGCAGCTGAAGAATGGTTTTCCCACCCCTTCAAAAGCATACCAAAAACATGTGCAAAAGTGCCTTATTGCTAAAGCTTTGATTACTTTTTGGTATCGTCAAATGTACTATTTTTATAAAGAATTTTATTTAAAGAGAATAAATGCTGGAGTGGTTGATTCGTTCCAACACTTTTGCTTTGGGGAAATTGGGGGAGGGGAGGCAGAGGCTCCATTAGCCATCATCATCATCTTCATTTAACGATCCCATAATCCCTTGCATTGGGGTGGGAGTCTAGGCAACTGAATGGAGCTAGCAAGGGTGTTTTAATGGCTGGATGCCCTCCCTGTCCCCAATGTGGAGTTTTGTTCAGTGGATACATTCTCAGCGTGCCCAGAGGGAGAAATATCTGAGAGGCTCAATAGCCAAGGGTAATTTACCTTGTTACATCCATCTTAATGTTAAGTGTTTTAGTCAGGGGTGGGATTCTTCCAGTTTGCACCTATTTGCTAGAACCGGTTGTTAACATTCTAAGCAGTTCGGAGAACTGGTTGTTAGAAGAAATTACAGGGCTAATCCTGTAAGGAAGGCAGGAAGGAAACATTCTGGTGTTGCTTACAGAAACTGCCTCTCCGTTGACCCTTATTATGTACTTGGCAGGACTAGACTTCCTGTCTCAGGAGCTTCTCTGGAGTTTTTTTTCCCCCTCCTTTGCTGGTACTTTGCTTGTGTGGAGTGACCATTCAAAGTTACAATGGCATTGAAAAAAGTGTCTTATGACCCTTTTTCACACTTATGACTCTGTTGCAGCATCCCCACAGTCATGAGAGGCCAGGCGAGGAGATGCGTGCCTCGATGTGAGTGATGTTGAGTTGGCCACGCCCAGCCAATAACATGACCACCAAGCCACATCCACCAGTCACATGACCTCTAAGACACGCCCACAGAACCGGTTGTTAAAAAAATTTGAATCCCACCCCTGGTTTTAGTGCCACATTCACTCTGTATGCAGCATTGCAGGCTGACTGCCCACAGTTTGGAGTTCGATCCTGAGCGGCTCCAGGTTGAACTCAGCCTTCTGTCCTTCCAAGGTCCATAAAATGAGGACCAGATTGTTGGGGGCAAGAGGATAACTCTATAAACTGCTTAAGAGAGGGCTGTAAATCACTGTGAAGCAGTATATAAGTCTTTGGGCTATTGCTAAAAATCAAGGTGGCAAACACACACAATACCCCTTCATTCTATTTCTTCCACAAGAAGCCTTTGGAGCTGGGTTGGGCTGAAAGGGACTGGCCCAAAGTCTCCCAGCCAGATTTTGTGCCTAAGATGGAATTAGAACTCACAATCGCTTGCTTTCTTAGGCCCAGCACCTTCACCGTTTCACCCAACTGGCTCGATGCTCCTTTTGTTCATCGGTGGGGCGTCTGAAGGGTCTCCATGAAAAATCCAGCCGAGTCTGGAATGAGGCCACCCAAAGCTTTCTTCTTGGCCTTTCCAAAACCCGAGCAAAGGAACTTCCAAGTTCACCTAAAAGGCATTTCCACCGAGAGGCAGTGAAATGACATTTTTGCCCCCCGCAAGCCCAGTTTTCGAGACTGAAAAATCCACTCCATGGCCCTGCCTCAGTGGTCTTGCAGGAAAGCTCAACGAATGCAGCCATTCTAAGCTCTCCCCATTATAATGAGATTAAAAGTCCCACTTCTGTTTTAGCCAAGAACAGGTTTATTGGAAAGCCGGGGACAGGAAACACCCCAGCCGGTCCAGCATGATTTCCATGGTATCTTTCAAACTTTTGCAGAACTTCAGCAAACCCCAGAACATCCTTTTCTTCTAGTTGTTTCCTTCCTTATCAGCGGTTCAGCCTGGCTCCCACCGTTCCTAATGGCTTCCTTTTGCTTCCACCCAGCCTCATCACAATCATGTTTTTACGGAGATAGGAGAAACAGGGGGAGGCCAACCGTCCCAAAGATCCATTCATTTCCCAAAGAGGTTACAAGCAGGTTACAACAGCTTTTCCATTGTACAAAGTGGCCCTAGCTTAAGGCTGTCAAACTCAAGTTTCACCGAGGGCGCATCAGGGGTGTGTTTGACCTCAGAGGGCTGGGGATATGTGTGTGTGTGTGTGGCCAGGGATGGGCTTCTGGGGGTTCGCAGGGGTTCGGGAGAGCCCCTCACTAAGTGTGCAGTTCAGAGAACCCTCAAATCCCACTCCTGTCTGGCCCCGCTCGCCCCTCCCCTCCCAGGGGTCCCTACATGGCCCGTTTTGGATGCAGGTAAGTGCAGGGCGCATGTGGAGGATCGGGAAGGGTGACAAACGGGCCTCCTGGGAGTTCGGGAAGGCCAGAAATAGGCGTGTTTCCGGCTTCCACAGAGCCTCGGGAGCCTGGGGAAGCCGTTTTCGCCCTCCCAGAGGCTCAAGGAAAGCCTCCGGAGTCTGGGGAAGGCAAAAACACCCCCCACCCATGGTGCAGGAGGCCAACTAGGCCACGCCCACCCTGCAACCAGACAGAAAACCCCTTGCTAAAATTTTTGAAACCCACCCCTGGGTGTGGCCATGGTGGGCCTCCTGCAGCACAGGGCTGCGCAAAGGCCCAGTGTGGCCTGTTCTTCAGCTGGCAGAGTGCTGCAGGAGGCCAGAGAGCAGGGGTGGGGGTTCAAATTTTTTTTTTTTACTACCTGTTCTGTGGGCGTGGCTTGGTGGGCCTGGCAGGGGAAGGAGACTACAAAATCTCCAGTCAGAGGCGGGATTGGCCGGTTCTCCGAACTACTCAAAATTTCCGCTACCGGTTCTCCAGAACTGGTCAGAATCTGCTGAATACCCACCTCTGCAAGGGGGAGCAAAAATGGGCTGGGGGAGGGCTGCATGCGGTCCCCCTGTGACCCATTTTGGCCGGCAGAGGCCCCACGGGCTGCTCCTTTGATATTTGCAAGCCGGCTTCCATGGGCCAGATTTAAGCATCGTGCGGGCCAGCTCTGGCCTTTGGGCCTCGAGTTTGACACCCCTGCTCTAGTTTTCATTCACAAATCTCTGCCACTGTTGCCCCATTGTGCTCTTCAATGCACAATATTGCAATGACCCCCGCTGTCGGGACGATAACGCTCGATATGTGCAGGGAAGCACCATAAGAAAGGAAGGAAAGCAAAATATCTCCACTGTTGCAAACACACACACACACACACACACACACACACACACACACACACAAAGCAAAAAGAGACTTGGGATTATCCCCTTTGCTTTCTTCGCCACCTTTGGTACGTTGGCAAAGGCGGAGGCAATTCGATGCACTAGCAGCCCGAGTTCCTGCTTTAGGTGCTAGTACCTGGTCCATGAGGCAGAGTTTTGGACAAAAGTACCTGGCTGGGCGGTCTAACTAGGGAGAGCAGCTCTGCAGTAGTGAAGTACCATGAGGGGAATGGACAATTTGCCACAGACAACTCGCCATGGCCAAGTCATTGCAGCCAGTTCCAATACTTGAGTGGCTGCCATGGAGAGGAGGAAACGGTCAAGCTATTTTCCAAGGCACCTGAAGGCCAGACAAGGACTAATGGATGGAAACTGATCAAGGAAAGATTCAACCTGGAAATAAGGAGACATTTTCTGACAGGGAGAACAACCCATGGAACAGTTTCTCTTCAGAAGTTGTGGGAGCTTCATCCCTGGAAGCTTTCAAGAAGAGACTGGACTGCCCTCTGTCAGAAATGGTGCAGGGTCTCCTGCTTGGGCGTGGGGGGTTGGACTAGATGATCTACAAGGTCCCTTCCGACTCTGTTAAAGATTTCTGCAGCTGAATAACCAAATCCAGACCAGGGAACTCTTTGCGAGGCTTCATGTGAAATGATGCCCCATTTACAGGGTACGCTGTCAATCCGTTTGCACAAGAATGTTTGCAAGCAACGGTCTCTGGAGAACGGACATTTCTATTGGAGCAAAATGTACCGTCGCCACAGTCAAGGTGAGTTCCACATCAGGGTGCATTTATTGCACGCCAAGAGAGGGATGAGGGAGCAGGCTCGGCTACCCAGTGCCCCCAGTGTGTTGAGGGGGGCGGCACACTGGATGTCTGGAAAGGGGTGGGCAAATTCAACAATGGTTGGATTAATGACAAGAACAATTTTTTTTTTGAAAACGCATAAGGCAGAACATGGGCGAACTCTGGGTTCCTTTAAGACTGTTTGAACAGATTACCTGTATTAGCTACTAGCTCAATATCTGTGCTTTGCTACAAAACTATGTGGTCAGGCTTAGTTTTGGGGGAGGAAAATAAGGGGGGGGGGAATTCTGCCTCTGCCTACCAGCATCCATCGGTATTCATCTGGATAGGGTCCTGTCCGTGTGTGAGAGTTGAGGGCTGTTTGGAAACTGAAACAGTATTTGCTGTGCAAGCAAGGAGAAGATGGCAAGGAGCCTGGCCTTGGCTTAGCTCAACTATTCTGTACCAAAGCTGCTTGGTGCTGTGAAACTGAAACTCCTCTCCTCTGCTTGTATTTTGCATTTGGAAGAGATTTCTTTTCAAGTGGGGAGGGGGGAGTAGAACTCCTTAGCATCAGAGC